ACACACACACACACACACACACACACACACACACATATATAAATACAGAAACAAATATAAATAAAATATACAAAGGGCTTTTTTATACAGGTGCTCTGTGTTGCATGACCAGTCCAGTTTATTGTCCACCCACAGCCCGAGGTACTTGTACTTGTTGACCACCTCCACCTCCTCCTCCTAATGCCCGAGCCCCTTCTTACCTGTCTGGGCTCCTTTTTGTTTATGCTCCAGGAAAAACTACGAGGTCTAGCTCAAAACTAATGCTGTCCATCCCACGGACTAGTCTCACATCTCGTGGTGATAGAGCCGTGTCTGTGGCAGGTCCCAGACTCTGGAATGGTCTCCCCCTAAATATTAGATCGTCTTAGTTATTGTTTTAATTCTTTGATTGTCCTATCATTGTTTCACATTGTTATTATTGTTCTACACTTTTTCCTTTTAATGGCATATTTATATTGTTAAACACTTTGTGCAGCATCGTCTGTGTGGAAATGTGCTATATAAATAAATTTGACCTTGACCTTTGACCTTAAACTCCAGCTGACAGCCACCTCGCAGGAAGAGCGTGGAAGGCACGGAGAGCAGCGAGCACCGGGGGGTGCTGACACGGGAGCAGAGAGCACATGGACTATTCACGGGAGACACGACACGGGAGTCTGGGAGAACACGGGGATTTATTGTTACGTTGTTTTCACTCTGTAAATAAACACTGTTTGTACATAGAGCACCGCGCCTGGGTCCTCCTTCCCCACTCCTTCCACGGTGTGCCATGCCATACCGTGACAGCTACCAACAACAAAGTGCCAGTTGGTTCTCTGTAGTTGAGCTTTTGTGTGGAAAACCTGAGCTGCAGTGTTTTTGGAAGGTGTGAGCTGTCAGTAACTGAAACATCTTGTGCGAAGAGCACCTTCTGAAAATAGTTGTATAACCATTGCTTGTAATTTAGTTTTCATTGTATATACTGAGCACTGCAGCAGATTCAGTAGGAGTGAGAAGGCCTTTTTTGTTGAACCCTTTCCCCCATGTTTTTATAGGAGAGCAGGTTAGAAATGGTCTTGTTTGCTTTTGTTTTAATAGGGAAGCTTTTTGTTGTCTGTTGTGTTGTTGTTGTGTTTTGTTTTGTTTTTTTTCACGGCTCACGTCTGAAGTAAATAATTTGCTGCTAGCTCCTTCAATTACCTTATTGCTGGCATTTCTTAGGAGTGGTTGGAGTGGGAAGTTGCAGCTTCATGTTCAGTCCCTGTTACCCCTGTGCCGGGTCGTAACAGAAAGAGCAAGAATGTAGTCCAGTGTCTGCAGATGTATCTTTGGTGTATAAAAAGTGTGAGCTGACAGCCTGATTATAGTTGTGCACGTCTGGGCACAACTATAATCAGGTGTTGTGTTACTCCTGTGCGTTACAGGTCAAAGTTACACTAACTGAGGAGTACTTTTGCTGTCATGTTGACAATGACAGGCTGCCTCCCAGTGGCCCCTAGAAATACTGCTTTACAAGGAGAGAATGCTGCAGGAAACTTGGAGCAGCCACAGATGTGCACATGCTGCAGAGTAAGAACTAGTTCCTGATGCAGTTTTTGGTTTTTCTGTGATATTTACTCATAAAAAATGGCTGTGATCATAAGAGACAATTTAAGGACTGCTTAGTGTTATACAAAGTGGTTTTCGCCACAGTGTTGTGGTGTAGGCATTCAGTTAGCAAGTGAAAGGTTGCTGCTTGAGTGTAGCCAAACAGACTGTGACAGAAATAGCATGTAGTGTCTAAAAATCCAAGTCAAGCCTGCTGAACTCTCTGTAGTCACCGCCTGCAGCAAGGCAGCTGTTAATTATTACAATCATAATCCTTTAATATTGCAAAAGGTAATGAACAAGACATTACTGACAAAGTAGTCCTGCTTTGAATTACTTTCAACTTTTGATTTACTAATGTACAATTTTTTTCTTTCAAAATTTTGCAAAAGTGTGAATGACTGCTGAAAACACGTATCAGCAAATGTTTTAGACGTAACACATTTAAACCCATCTGGAAAGACAAATTTCACTCCAGCTGTTACTACAGGGTAGAAGGAGGGCAGACGGCAAAGACGAGCAGCTGCAGAAATCCTGATGAAAATGTAGAGACAGAAAGAACTCTTAAACAAAACAGAGGTTTGTTAAAATGTCATGCATTTATTCACTGTTGATTGACAACACAATGTCTGATTTTGGTGTAAAGGTGAGATAGGTCAGGATAGTGTTTGACTCGGTCTGGTTGGGTGAGGGTTAAACTCCACACAAAAAGAAGCAATTTTTACCCTCAGTAAATATGAAGCAACTATTTTGAGTCATGAAACTGAAAAATATCACATCAAATTTTTTTTTAGTTCAAATCCTTCATCTTTAATGAAATTGTAACAGTTAAGCCTTAATCTGAACATACTACATAGTACGTGGAAAATTCACATGTGGTTAAAGTTTTAGTACGAGTGGAATGTGGTCAAACTGACTCCCCGCGCCCCTGCTCTCCTTTGGGAAAACCTCACTTATCACACTCACACTCTCTGCTTATTCCTGGTGATAACGAAGAGGAGGCACTTGTGAAATGAGCATTTGGACTACAATCCAGGTGTGTTTCTATGCCTGTGAGAGCTGTGGCGACAGGATGAGATTAGCTACAGGTGCCTCCATCACTGGCAGGGAGCACGTCTGCTTGCACGGGTTCAGCTCTCAGCCTGACTATTAAGACATAACCAATAATATATGACAATTAACACCTGACTATTAGGTATGTCAGTGAAGAAGAAAGGAGTGAGAGTGGAAACAGGAAAACACAAAAGCTGAGGCATCTGCCCCCCTAATGTACAGACCTATACACATTGCACTGTCTGTATTTGATTTTTGCACGTGTAGCTTTGGGAGATTAAAGACTTGAGCACTTTGACATTTCCTCCTTCTCCTCCCGAGACTTGCCGTTGGTCACGTCAGCAGACGTGCTTTGGTGCATCGGTGACGTGCTCTTCTGGTGGCCTCACAGCTTGGAGATAGGTGGTCTCATTCTGGCTGCTGCTCAAGCTGCTGTTCCTGAAGGTGGCCATAGGGGGGGCTACCTTCACACCTTTCAGAGTCATTGAGCCATCTATGGCTTTACGGAGCTAGATGAAGAAAGAAGGCAGGAATTGTTCAATTCCAGGTGAGTAACATCCCAATAAAGTTGTTTGAGCCATGCAAACACAAACATAACTCAAGGCTTTAAGCTCATAACAAATTTCCCACGTGTGGGACTAATAAAGGTTATCTTATCTTATTATTTTGGATTGCAGTTTAATTTATATGGTGCCAGATCACCACCATAGTCATATAGCATTAAAGGGAGAAAGAGGTGGTGACAGTAGAGAGAAAGAAACAACGTAGTAGTAGTGCCAGTTGCACGACCTGCTTTTTAAGGCTCAGTTTCTCATGCCTGAAGACTTTATATGTACAGCACATAAAAATTCATATCTAATAAAAGCAATGATGTATACATTTTATGTGCAAATTAATCTATTATCCCCGCATTAAAGGAACATATGTAATGTGTTGTTCTGTCAGTACATAATAAGAATGCTTTTTTTTCAGCTGTATAATTTCTTTATTAAAAAGGGTGTACCTCAATGTTTTGGTCTTTCAGAGCTTTTCCTTTAATTGGCTTCTTTTAAATATGGGATGTTTTGGCTGTTGTGAGTAAAAGTGCTGCAGATCCTGTCAATGTGCTCTGAGAGTTTAGCTGTCCGTCGATCAGAGATTTGACAGTGTCTGTGTGAGAGACGGGCAGACTGGGAGAGGATGGGTTTATCTGCCCTGACTGGGTTTGTGTTTTTTCTTGCTGTTGGACAGAGGTGGGACATAATTCTCTCACCCCAACCGGTCGCAGCAGATGGCCCCGCCCCTCCCTGAGCCTGTTCTGCCGGAGGTTTCTTCCTGTTAAAAGGGTGTTTTTCCTTCCCACTGTCGCCAAAGTTCTTCCTCATAGGGGATCATATGATTGTTTTTCTCTGTATCTACTGTACAATATAAAGCGCATTGAGGTGACTTTTGTTGTGATTTGGCACTGTATAAATAAAATTGAATTGAATTGAATTGAACAAAGTACAAATACTTTGTTACTATACTTTAGTACAATTTTTAGGTATCTGTACTTTACCAGAGGACTTAATTTTCTGACTTCTTTTTACTTTTACTCCCTACATATTTAAACAGATATCTGTTCTTCTTACATTTTCAAAACAGGCTCATTGCTTTTGCTGTAACAGATATGAGTTATTATTTCACATCACTGCAAGCCTCCAAACACCAAACTGGTGTGAGTCTAAACAGAAACACATGAAAGGATGTCTGTTTGTTTATTAATCACAAGGAAATGTCATAGAGAAGTCAGGGCTTAAAAGTGGGACGGTGGTGAGTTTTTGGTTTGTTTTTTCCTTTCAACATCGGAACGACTGCAGGTCCATAATTTGCGGTTGTGATACTTTGGCATCTAGCTAGCCCTACAGAAGAGGAGTGAGCATAAGCTTTTTTTTTTAAATTGTGAAGTTATTGTGACTTTTCAACTCAGCAAACACACAAACTGTGTGCTGTTTGTCTCACAGTGTGTTGCAGCTAAAGTGCAGCTGCTGGATTTCACAGGGAGAGAAAAGAAAGAGCGCTAGCTTCACTCAGAGATGGAGAAAGATGAGAACGACGGGCAGACTAACTGCTGTCACTCACAGGTCAGTGCAGGATAAACAGGTTAGTTTGCTGCACTGTGATTGGTTTAAAGTAAAGAACAGTGACTGCTGCACAGCGGCTGTGTTTCGTGGTCACAGTGTAGCACAGATTCATTCACTGAATTCCACCTTCACACCAACTTCATCCAGTCTAATGTAAAAGCGGCATAAACAGTGTAGAGTCAGTGCAGGAAACATCTGGTTGAATCCAGGTGTGTTAGCAGCTCCGCTGATCACAGCCTGTACACTAAGAAAATCTACTGGAAATGAATGTGAGTTTGATTCTTTTCCCCACACTGAACCATTACAACCAGTTTAGTTTAGTTTAGTTTCCCCCACTTTAACCTCTGACGGTGCACATTTCCCTGTTCACAGTCCCCAACTGTAATGTAGGCATAAGAAAATAGAGCTGCTTTCTATTTACTTCTGATTCAAGATGAGAATATTTAGAGTTTAATAAAGTTTGTATTAACATCTACTGATATTATTTTAATATTATGCTAATATAGCACAAAGTTCAGTTAGCTTTGCACAGAAACAGAAACATCCTCCAAAGAGCTTTTCAGAGCCTGTACGTTTTTACTTTTACTGGAGTAAAGAAGTTGATTCTGTACTTCAACTTTTACAGTAATATTTTTTAATAGTAGTATTTGTACTTCTGCTTGAGTACAGAATGTCTGTACTTTTACCAACTCTGCTGGTGGAGCGCAGCTGATTAAGTGATCAAACCCATACACCCCAAAAGTCCTGTAAAGAGAGACTATTACTTCTTTGATGGAAACCACCCCGATGAGGCGTCCGATCCTGGTGACGTAGGCGTGGTCGAGGCCCAGCAGAGAGAAGATGGTGTAGGTCTGTAGGAAAACAGCAGAGGTCTGTAGGTAAAAACTTTCTTCTTACCTAAAGTCCAGTTTGGAAAATGCACCACTGATCTTAATTATCCAAACTTCACCAATATCTAATCACATTTGAGTCATTCAACCTGTCACATTTTCAGTTAAATGGGATTTTTTTTTTTCCACTGTGGGAAATTTGCGAGGGGGAACCGACATGCTTAACAAAGCCGTGTACACCTGTGGACAGAAGACTCTCTATTAACTCGACTTGATGGCTTTAAGAAATGTTTGAAGCTAATCAAAACACATTTGTTTAATCTGCACATGTGACCTGCACACAGGATTTTATTGGGTGTATTATGTGTGTTACGGAAGTAATATAGGCTACTATTTTGTTAAGTTTAGTGAGGCAGTAATATGGGCTGCGGTTAGCATACATACAACTGTGGTCAGTAGTTTACAACACTCATCATGAGCATGAATATCATGGTGGCTTTTAATGGTTTCTTTGAACTGTTGAATGATTGAGCAGCGTCTTTAAAAAGCAGGAACTGGGTGCACAAGTTCAGATCTGTTTAGGATTTTCTCCACATGTGTTCAAAAGTATACACCGACTTAAATCTTTAAATAAGTGGTGCTGAAAGTTGGATGATGTCTTTCAACTTTAAAAGGCAGAATCTGTTGACTTCTCAGTCGTGGTCACGTTTGTCTATAGCCGAGGGCTGTTAGCAGACAGTTAAAGTGGCAGCTCGATGAGGACCATTAGCACACATCTGTGAAGGCACTAATATTGGTTAATGACACATGCTGGTTTTGGAGTTAGTAGTTTTCATAAGGACCTTCCTTTTTCAGCAAAACAATAGTTATTCTTTTTCCTTTTCTTTGCAGTTGATCTGTATCTGAGATGTATTTGTTTTTCCTTTGTTTTTTCACTTTGCTCTTATAACATCAAATCTTTGTTTTTCTCTAATTGATCATTGTTAGGACAACGTTGAGCCATCACCCAGTCGGCAAAAAACATTTGCCACAATTGCTTTGTTATGGAATACACTTATTTTGAAAGTAACAGAAATGGTGCAGTTTGAAATTGCAGTGTGTATATGTAGACATGATGTAATATTATATATGTATTATAATATTATATATATATGATGTAATATATACATTTTGTTCTGTCAAACTGTTTGTGGATCTTTTCATTTTAGGTCACCTTGCATTAATTTATCATTTTAAATCATACGTACGTTCTTTAAAGGATCAAATACAAGTCAACCGTTGTCCCCTAACCCCAAAACACTGGAAAATACTGCTGTCACTGTGACAGACACATACAGACTGACTGTCGCAGTATTCAGAATTCAAACCTTATGCAGTGATGTACACTCCAGCAGCTGGATCAGGGCAGGGTTAATCTTGCAGTTGTTGAAGTTGACCCTCTCATCAAGTTGCCTTGCCTCCCAGTCTGTAATCTGCAAGTCAACAAGAGTGAAACTCCTTTTCAGCATCCCGTGTTGGATTGATCACTTCATAGCAGTTAGTGATCTACATTATTTTCCCTTAAGATGACTTTAGTTTGTAATAAATGATTTGCTTACAGTAATACAACCTGTCATTTTTGGCCTAAAGTGTATTTTTTGAATAATTAGGCCTCATCTTATCTTAAACACCAACAGAGCAATTTGCTGTCACACTGCTGGCTAAGACTCGCCTCTGTCAGTGCGCCCCAGGGTGGCTGTGGCTACAATGTAGCTGCCATCACCAGTGTGTGAGTGTGTGGATGACTGGATGTGTAAAGCGCTTTGGGGTCCTTAGAGACTAGAAAAGCGCTATACAAATACAGGCCATTTACCATTTAAGACAATCTGAAAACAGTTCCATCACCTTCTTTTCAAACTCTTGTTTTTGAAGATGTTTCGCCTCTTATCCAAGAGAATTCCTCATTTCTAAATCTGAACAGGGGGCTGGGTGGAAACCTTTGTAGTCCCCCCATTTTCTCATGTCCCAGAGCAACGAACACTCTACTGCGACCGCTTGTGATCTGCTCATTGGTTGCTCTGTCTGTGTGGATTGTCTGAACATCTTACCTCACTAGTGGGATCTTGAACATCTCGATCATCTTGTACCTGAGAAGCAACAGAAAGCAACGATAGTCAGCGTGTACACTGAACCCAATAACACAACTCAGTGTGAATGCCACAAACACAGGTAAAGGCAAACAACAGCCCTCAGCAGGTTGTTACCTCCATAAACATTTAGCACTATGTCTGTGCACAGAAGATGGACAAAATGACATGAGTCACTGAATGAGTGACTACAAGGACATCAACATTGCAACTTAAAGCTGATGCTGTTTGATGATGACGTCCAGTGTCAAACTACCAACGCTGTGCTTTGAAGCAATCTGCCAAAATACTCCAGAGGTCTGAGTGAGACGGGCTATGTTAGGACACCTTTCTGCAGGGTGGAAGTGTGGGTGTGTGGGTGTGTGGGTGGGATGTCACTCTTTTACCTCTTCTGCATCTGAACTAGCACAGAAAATGCTTCTCAGTGTGACTCCTGATTCATCTCGTGAGCCTGCATCAGAGACAGAGACACAGACACACAGACCGCAACATAGTCAGGAGGTCCAGCTTAGTGAGCTCAGGGAGTGAAATTAGCTGGTTTGTCTTGTATTTTTAATCAGTGGCCACAAAGCAAACATTTAAAGTGTGAGCTAGAAAAACCAGTGTTTATACCTATTTAATTCAAACAGTTTCAGGAGCTGCTCGTCACATAAGGAACAGAGAGAGCAAAACCCACACTTCTATTGAATTTCTATTTCCTTTTGTTTCGAGCCACATCAATCTGGTCTTCTGAAACTCTGCTGTGTGCATGTATTTGCACAGGTAAGTGTAGTTCTTACTGTTGGAAAGCTCAGTGGGTCGCTCCACCACAGGCGGCGGGTTCAGCTCCTCATTAGTGACCTACACACACACACACAGACTGATTAAACAAAATCACAATCACGTGCACTACTGTGGGCTGATGCAACAGAAACACGAGCACACGAATGAAGAGAGCAAACCTGCAGCACCAGAGCTACACTAAGAATTCTCATATTAGTCTGGCCTCAAATGTATGACCTCAGTCAATCCCCCTGCTGACTTTCCTTTCCCTGACAACATTTTCTCTACGTATACTGAGGATTTTTGAAATGGCCAGAAAAAAACACATCATGTTTTGCCAAGAAAATATGCTTATCAACATATCAGACAATATCAAATCAAAAGCAGACAGTATCACAGCAGACTGCTCGACTTCCACATCCATGCCTGAGGACGCTCTGCTTAGCCACTCACTCATGTTAAGCAATGCAGTGCAGCAGCTGCAACAAAACATCTTTCATCTATAGACATCTATCTGCAACCTGTCTGCCAATTTCAGTTTATTTCCTCTGCAAACACAGAAATGACCTTGTGCATTCATTCAATTCAACACTTTGATACACAACAATTGCTATGAGCAAGCAATGGACCAGACGGGGTGTGGAGCGAGAGGAAGAGTGAGAACTGAGGAAAAAAACAATGAAGCATGAGCAGGTGAATGGGTGAACATAACAAACATGCAGATAAGTCCAAAGTTTCAGGTGAAAGAAAATGTTGAATCTGTCACTCATATTAGAGCTCCTTTCACAAAGCATGCGTCCTCCTGTGACCTCTCACCTGGATGTGGCCTTCCTCCGGGCCTGTCTGCAGGCTGCTGTTGTTATTGCTGGGTGGGTTCGACTCAGTGGAGAGGAGCTTCTTCGCCTCAGCGCCTCGTTCTTTGATGCACTGCAGACGTCTGGCACAGCTGAGCTGCTGCGAGAGCAGCGACTGGAGCTGGGTACGCTCAATGGAACCCAACAGGATCATTGACTCTGAGAGAGGAGGATAAAAAGGGGCGAAGGAGCAGGTTTTTATGTGAGATAAGGGAAGAGTGTGTAAACTTGTTTTAGAAATAAGGAGTGAGCTAACTGTGGCGATCCCAACCATGTCCTTGAGGCATGTCCTCTTTCTTAAGGTCACATATATATATTTTTTAGGCCTGCTTCTTTTTCTTTCGTCCTCCACTTGTACAGTTGCCTCTTACACTCAACAAAAATATAAACGCAACACCTTTGTTACTGCTCCCATTCCCCATGGGATGAACATAGAGACCTAAAATTCATTCCAGATACACAATATAACCATCCCTCCCAAACAGTGGTCACAAATCAGTCCAAATGTGTGGTAGTGGGCACATCTGCTATATTGAGATAATCTATCCCACCTCACAGGTGTGCCACATCAGGATGCTGATCTGACATCATGAGTAGTGCACAGGTGTACCTCAGACTGCCCACAACAAAAGGCCACCCTGGAATGTGCAGTTTTTTGCGCTATTGGGGGTCTGGGGACCCAGAACCGGTCAGTATCTGGTGTGACCACCATTTGCCTCATGCAGTGCAACACATCGTCGATTCTAATAGATAAAGTCATGTTAAAAACAGACGTATCTATTGTTCATGTATGTGTTTATTCATGGGGGTAGTGAGTTATTATATGAACATCACAGTGTGTAGCAGTGACTTACCAGCTGATTTGAGCAGGGGTAGAGCCTTTAGTCGACTTTTCATTAGGATGTTTAGCAAGTCTCTGTAGCTGCAGCTGAGTGTGATGTACTGCACGTCGCGCACCATAATGTCCTCCACACGAATGTTATACACCCTGAAATGAGAACGGAGAGGATTATGAATCTGCTGTAGATAGGAAGGACTCGCGAGAGTAGGAAAAACATGAGCATGCTTTTAGGGAAATAAATGGCAGCAACAAAGTTCTGTAGGAAGATTTTTTTTTTTTATAGATTCTTGTTTAATTCCATGCAACTCCATTTTAATGGGAGGAGAATCGGGCCCAGTGAGGAGCAGCCAACCGCTGTGACTGACCAGCTTCGACTTGAACATCGAAGAAGACAACTTTATGAAGTTTGTATCATTTCAGTCACCAAATACCTGATCAGATATTAACTTAGTATTGTTTATGTACATTGATTTCAAGCATTTCCAAATGTTCTTAATTACCTACGTAATACGTTAGTTTTTTGTTTGTTTGTTTTTTGGGGGGGCAGTTATTATTAGCTTTTAATAATTAAACAGTTAAAATTATTCTTGTTTGATGTTTCCCACTTCTAGTTTTTCAAAAGGCCAAAACCTATTTATCATGACAGTTGTGTGCTTGTGTTTCTCCAGTGTATACATACTCGTGCTGACCCCAGCCCAGCTCTGGGAGATAGGGAAGCTTCTTTATCTTGATGATGGAGTCATAGATGGAGGGCTGCAGGGACTGGGCCACAAGGTTGGCCAGGACCACTGCTATCAGGGCCGGCAGAAGGTGGGAGATCTGTCCAGTCAACTCAAGCACCATGACCACGGTGGAAAATGAGTGGCTGACTGCTCCGGACAAAGCTGCAGCACCTTTTGTTGGGAAGAGGAACAGCGAGAGAAATTACTGCTTAAATGTTTGTGTGCTACAGTTGTGCCAAAAACCCAGTTGCAGCATGGCAGACCAACAACTAGCCTAGCCAGTTGAGGCACTAGTTCAAATGGTGACCATACAGCGTGACTTTCGTGGCCTTCTGCAGGACTAGTCCAAGTGCCAGATGGATGTGGTGGAGAGCCTAGCTGTAGGGTTGGCTCCTTGCTGGCACCACCACTACTCCCAATGTGGAGGTGACTCTATACCACATGGGAGAGGGTGCACTTAAGGAAGATTGGACACTGTGGCTGCTGCCTCTGCTGATGAGGAAGCTCAGCTGGCGGCTCTCAGCTCACCTGTGATGGCAAGGGGTTGTTTTGCAGATGGCCAATGGGAAAATGTTGACCAGCTGGAGCTAACACTGAAGGACCACCTCCAACGATTCACAGGAGACTTGACGGAGCATGAGGACCGGCCGTACTCTTATGCCAGACGCCTTGTTTGGCGCAGTTGCCAGGTGACTACCGCCCTATAGTTGTGGCCCGGCCCTGGCTCTGGTGGAGACGGGGGTACTCGAACACTTTGTGGAGGGGCTCCCCGTAGGGCTGGGCGATATATCGAGTTTTTTTTAAAAATATCGATATATTTTCATACGAGATATAAGATGTGACAATATCGTTTATATTGATATAGTCTATGTTATGTTATAATTATACTTGTGGAGCTGCAGGTTTGCCTGTCTTTCGTCCACTTTCGTCTCTACGCAATGTTATTCGGCCTCGCCTCTCCTTCACTGAACACAACTCC